ACTGCATGTTTTCAATAAAGTACTCTCAAGGTTTTCAAGCCTGTATGAACTTCAGCTGCTAATATGTAGTTTCTCACGAGGCTGAGAAACCATCTGCCAAAGCTGAATGTCTGTAATGCTTTAGTGACTTTGGTGGAGGCATTGTTAAGCAATCTACTCGCACAGTGAATCAGCCTCGTCAGAGGCTGTCGTTCAGCTGTCCTCAATTATGAAATGCTCTTTGGTACTGGAGAAGCTGAGCAATTTTAATGGCCGTCCGGCTTAGCTGCTGCTGTTGTGGTTTTTTGTTTTTTTTTTTTCTCTTTAAAACTCAGTGTCCTAGTAGGAAAAAAGGCTGAGTGTTCTTGAAACTAGTAGCTGGTATGTTGAGGGTAGGAAAGAATATCCTCAGTTTGACAGCGGGGAGCCAAGTGAGGAAGCAGAAATTGAGCTGTCGAAACAAGCTAGCTGTAACCTACAGTTTATCTCATAGCCATAATTATGAGGAGCATCTGCAACAGGGATGCATTTGTTGGTAAGTGTAAGGGATGTGGGTCTGTAGTAGAGGGTATAGAAATAATGTGTACGATGGTGATGTGTATGACAGTAAATTATCATGGTTGTTGGTGTCTGTTTCTTATAACCATATGTAATCCATTTTTAAAGAAGAAACGGTGTTTTCATACTTGGGATTGGGGTTTTATTTTCATTTAGGCTGTATAGGACTTGGTGGATCAACCTTTTGGGAGTTAGGAGGGTTGGTCCTTGATAGTTTCCCTAGGAGGTCTTCGGTTTAGTTTCAAGCGATGCTGCTGATTTAGCTGACAGTGGTCCTGTTCTGTTTGCGTTTAACCACTCTGTAGAAACCAGATCAAAAGCTTGCCAGAAAAAAACGGTGAAAATGCTGGAAATGATTTTGATGACCTCTTTCTTTTTCCTTTGTAAAGCTGTAAATACTTTATTTTTGTTTTCTATTCTTAATGCGGTGTCATATTGACACTTTTTTAGACTTACAATCAGAAAATCCTCCTCATTGTTTCTCATTTTTTAAAAGGGGATTTCAAGGAAGCAAATTTTTTTGCTTGTTAGCAGTGTAATAATAGATCAAATTCCTAAAATGGGTTTGTACAAAAAATGTTTTCAGTAAACAAATGGCAGTTGCTTTTGTGGATGCATGTTCAAAAATGTCCAAAGAATAATGTGGTACAAACAGTTTTTCAAAGACTTAGTAATTATTGTATTAGTTCACACAACGAAAAAACAAAATTCTTTAAAAAAAAAAAGTGTCTTGGGGGGGGGAATGTAATGAAACTCATCTAAGCTAAATGTGTAATCTATTTATAAAAAACACAGTATATATTCTATTTTTATTAGAGGTTTTTAAAGTGCAAACAGAATTCTGTTAGCAAATGCAATTGTTCCCTTGTAAAGTATCTTCTGCTCTGACGGGACTCCGAATTCTCGAACGGTTTCAAGCGGCAACACGGAAACAATCTAAGAGGTACGGCTGTGAAGCACTCGCCCATCGCTTCCTCGAAGCAGGAGACAGGGGAAAAGAACAACAGGCTAACAGCTCTTCTGCGACTGCAGAGTTATTGCTGTTTCCCCTGTTGTTTTTTTTTTTCTTCCCCTGATTGCGAGGCATTCTGCTGGAGAGGGTAAGGACCTCGTTTGCTCCCCTAAATACCGGGGGTGATTGCAGCACAGCAGTCTTAAAATCTGCCCCAAAGTGGGTTTTGTGTCCTACCTGGTTGGAAGATAAATTGTGTTTGTCTACACCGGTATAAATTGGAATTCACTTGATGAAACAAAATAATAGATCAGAATCGTGCCTGAATATAGATCTAAAGCTGCTAATATGAGATTTTTTTCTTTGCATAACCATTCCTGCCAGCGAAAATACAAGTTGGGTCATCAGTCCAAGGTTGGCTGAGGAAAAGCCACGGCGATCGGTGGGTGCTCACAGCCTTGCCACAGCGCTGCGGTCTCTGTAAAGCAGCTATTTCCTTATGTTTCCCTCGGCTCTGGAAAAACGTGGAAGAATGTTTGTGTTGGAGCGTGCGAGGAGGAGAATTGCAATACTGGGAAGTCCCTGATTGTGTTTCACGTTTGATAGTGCTTCATTTTAGAGCTGAATGTTCAAAGCACGATTTATCACAGCAAAATTAAGAAATGATAGTGCTTCCATGGTGTAATAATACCCTGATGAGGATTTCCCACAGGTTGTTTCAGGACTTCTGTTTTTTTATTCTTTTGCACTGGTCCAGGACTTGGTTGCAGGGGAACACACAGGTTTTAAAAATGTTTGCCTTCAGTGTTAAGTCACCCAAATGCTTGATTTTTAAGCTTTTAGTAGAATGCAACTTCTGTCAGTTTGAGTTTTAAATGAGAAATCGGCAATCAAGGCAGTGCATAGTGTCCTGGTGTTAATAACGCTGGGTGTAGAGGTAAACTAGAAACACTACCTGCCAAATTCTTAATTCAATCCCTTGCCAACCCGTTTCTGGAGAGGGGAGCACCGAAGGCTTGAACCCAAGTCTTTGGCAGAGCAGTGAAGAAACACTTGATTCTTTCTTTTTGTCTGTTTTTGTGTGTAGTTCAGTGTCTTAAGACCTTTCCGCGCTTGCGGGAGCCTTTCCAAGCTTCTCTTTTGAAGAAGCAACAAATTGTGTTTAAGAAGTGGGTATTTGATGCTTCTAGAAATCAGGATTCCCTCCTAATTTGAGGCACTCCAACAGTAAAGCACTTCTGTAAGCAAAGGTGGTGCTCGTAGGTCTGGCTGGCTCCA